TTATTAATATTATTTAAACTATTTCATTATAATATTTATTTTTATTATTATTTCATTATATTCTATATCTTTCATAATTATCACATTACTATAGTAATAAAATAAAATGGTTTGAATTCTTTTGTGTGCCAATTTCAAATCCATTTGATTTGTATTTCATTTTTTATCAAAATAAAACGATGATTGTTCTTACAAATCTAAAAGTAAAATAAATTAATAAATCTTTTATCTATAAAACAAATTTTCGTTTTTGGTTACTTGTTAAAAACCAGGGTTTTCACATCGGGAAACATATTCTTCATGAAACGAAAAATCTATATTCCCAGATATAATATTATACACTTCTTTATCAGCACTACAATATTCCGATATGTCTGACAACTCATGAATAGAACTAACACATGACATTTCATCATTATAATTTTCACACACCCCTTCAGAAGCACTTAAACTTTCAAATGACCTTTCTTTAATCAAATACTCACTATATTTTGATTGCATATTAATGTCCTAAGTGTTTCTACTTCATTTAAAGATCTGTTTGTACAATTGTCTTACCCTGGAAGATCCAAAACCAAATTATTTTTCCTATATTTAGACATTTTCACTAAACATTTTTTGTGGTTGTTAGAATTTTTTGTGTATTTCTTCCTTTTTTATGAATCTTCTTCATAGATTATCTGTGACATAATCAGATTGGTTTTGAAAATCTAATTTCCAATTTTTTTTTTTTCTTATTTGTTTTCACTTTGTTGTTTTAATATTTTTGTTATAAAGGATAAAATGGTTTTGTTCATATTTAAAAAGTCAATTTTATTGAAAAGGGATAAGAGAAAATATCTATTATCAAAACAATACAAAGAAGGTATATCAGTTAAGTATTTGATAGTTGTAATTTTATATTATCAAAAATAATCTAACAAAAAAGATAATAAACAAAAACTATTTTAATTCATTTCCACAGCAACAAATTCAGTAAAATATCCTTCTCTTGGAAAGTAATTTTTAAAATTAAATGAACGATCTTCAACACAATAATAATATAATGTAGTATCACCAAAATAATATGAATAATTACTTCGTGTATATAAGAATCCAATACATGCAATTACTCTATCAACGTATTCATCTGATGCACCAACAACAAATGTTCTATCAGTTATATTAAAACGTTTCATTGTAAATGGAGTTATCCCTGATGAATGTTTTAATAATGCAAGAAAATGATTTGTTGCATCAAGATAAGCAGGTCCAGCAGAAGGTTGTTGAGGAATAGTATTTCCATAGTACATAGCAAAAACATTATCACCATCATATTTCATAAGGAAATAAACATTTTTATGACCTGAACATTTTTTTCATTAAAGTTCTTTTATTTAATCCGTCTTTTGTTGCACGATAAATAATTTGATATTGTGTTTTATTTGACCATTTTTTTAATAATTCTATTTCATATTCTCCAATTGGTAAAATTTCTGGTAATGTAGTTGCTGTTAAAATTGATTTACTTTGTTCACTAAATTGACTTAATGTATTTAAAAATTTTTTCATTTGTTGAACTTCATTTGGAGTTGTAATTTCCATTGCTTTTAATGGTTCTATAGTTATTGGTTCAGTTTCCATTAATTTTTTTTGTGATTGGTTTTCTTGATTGATTTTAGTTATTAAATTTTGTGAATGGTCAACTGAATTAGAATTAAATTGTTGACAATGAAAATTAATAATACCATAATTAGTGATATAAATTTGCATTAGATGAATAGAATTAAGATTCATCTTTTTTAAATTTAATGAAGAAAAAATAGATTAATTTATAATAAATAATATTATTATTATAATGTAAAACTAATTTATAATAAATGGAGGTTAAAATATAAACTTATAAAAAACTAAAGTAAAAATTAATTCAAATAAATGAAAGTTGAAATTAATAATTTTGGTATTATTCATATTCATTGTAATCATTGTGAATATTCACAACAACCTTCTATTCAAAATAATAATTTAAAAAAATCAATTGAAATGAAGATAAAATCAAATGAATCTTTATTACCTGTTCAATCACATGAAATTCAAAGTGTTCGTAATTTTCTTCAAACGTTAAATGACTTTGCATTAAAAGTTCATCCAAATACAATTAATTCTAATGATTTAATGACATTACTTCCAATTTCTCATTCTCACTTATTATTTCTTCAACAATGGTCTGAACATATGAATTATCGAGTTCTTTATCGTTCTTCTAGAGATGGCTTATCTAAAAAAGGTGTTCAAAATTCAATAAAAAATAAGTCAAATGTTATGGCATTATTTGAAACAAAAAATTCAATTTTTGGTTGTTTTTATCGTCCACCAATTCCAAGCCAACCTTCAACTGGACATGTTTATTTAAATTGTCATTATCATTTTGTTTTTAATCTTCTTAATTCTTATAATTGTTCTCCTTTTAGACTTCATTCACGTCAACTTAATGATAAGTCTTTAATTATTTCAGCCCTTGATGAATATACTCATAATGTATTTGTTTCAAGAGGATTTATTACTTTACAAGATACTTTTAAATTTGTTATTAACAGTAAATTCACAGAGAAATATTGTGAATATGATAATCCTTATTTTAATTTTGATAAATACTTTGAACAAGAGGGTTATATTAAAGAATTGTTTTTAATTGAATGGTATTAATTGTGTTTTTCTTTTATTTTAATATTTTTTATTTTTCTTTTTTTTTTTTAACTTAAAACTTAAAAGTGAATATTATGAATTTCATTAATCTCTCTCTTGAAAATACTGGTAAAATTACTCATTCATTATTTGGAGATTTTAGTGGGAATGGGGCTATTGAACTTCTCCTTGTGAGGTCACAAACAACTATTGAACTTTATCGAATTAATGAAAATGATCAAGTATCATTATTACTTCAAGAGAGTGTATTTTGTATGATTAGAAGTATATGTAAAATAAGGATTGGATCTGAAGCTAAAGACTATATTCTTATTGGATCAGATAGTGGTTCAATAACATTATTAGGATATTCTTTTGAACAAAACAAATTAATTCCAATTTGTAATGAAATATTTGGTAAAAGTGGAATTCGAAGAGTAGTTCCTGGAGAGTATATTTGTTCAGATCCAATGGGAAGAGCTGCAATGATTGGTGCAATTGAAAAACAAAAATTAGTTTATATATTTAATAGAGATAATAATGGAAAAATTACTATTTCTTCTCCATTAGAAGCACATAAAAGTAATACTATATGTTATAATATTATTGCATTAAATGTTGGATATGATAATCCAATATTTGCAACAATAGAAGTTGATTATAATGAACAATATTTATCACATATTGAACATCGTATTATTAAGAAATACGTTGTACTTTATGAATTAGATCTTGGACTTAATCATGTTATTAGAAAAGTTGCAGAACCAATTGACCCAACATCAAATTATTTAATTCCTATTTTATCATTAAATGAAGAGTGTCATTATGGTATTTTTATTTGTTCAGAAGACAAAATTACATGGTTTAATATCGGACATGATAAAGTGTGTATTCCAATTCCTAAATATCATAATCAATCGAATACTCATTCAACTTTAATTACATCTCATGTGATGAGGACTCATAAAGGAAAACATTTTGTATTACTTCAAAGTGAATTTGGAGATCTTTTTCAGTTATTATTTGATACAAAAGAAAAAGGTCAATTAGATAATATTCATATAAGATATTTCGACTCAATACCAATTGCACTTTCTCTTCAATTTTCTAAACGAGGACATTTATTATGTATTGGAGAGTATGGAGATTCAATATTATATAATATTATTTCAATGGAAAATATAAATGTTCCATTAGAAAAAAATGGTAGATTAGAATTTGAACGTCATGAAGAAATATTGAATTTAGAAGAATTTTATAGATTTAAATCATTAGCACCTTTAATTGATTTAAAAGTTGCACCTGCAACTTCTTCACAAGACACAACAAAAATGTATGCATTTTGTGGTAAAGGAAATCAAAGTACAATTAAAATATTAAAAAATCAATTAAATACTCTTGATGCAGTAGAAATTGAACTTCCTGCTATTCCAATTAGTGTTTGGCCACTTAAAAAAGAAACAGATGAATATCATCAATATTTAGCAATAAGTTATTCAAATATTACTACATTATTAAAAATTACTGAAGATGAAATGAGTGAATGTAATACAACTCCAATTTTATTATCAACTCCAAGTTTATTAGTATCTATGTTATCTGATGGAACATTTCTTCAAGTTATGACTGATAGAATTATTGTTTATTCTGAACCAATTCAACAATTTATTACTGAAAATCAAAAATATGTTTGTGCATCTTGTAATGGTTCGGAATTAATTGTTTCTGTTGAAAAAAATAACCAAACTGCTTTAATTTATTTCCAATATCAAAGTGGTCATTTATTAACAATGGAAAGAAAAGAAAATTTAGCAAAAATTACTGCATTAGCTCTTGACCAATTTCATCCTTCTCAACATTGTGCTATTGGTTGTGTTGATGGTAGTGTTCATTTATTATCTTTAATTCCAAATGAAACTACAAAAGCATTATCTCGTGTTTCATTACAAACATATGATTGTTCTGTTAATTCATTAACATTTAATATCATTGATAATAAATCTTATTTATTTGCTGGTTTATCAAATGGATTATTAGGAAGAAGTACTTATGATCCTATTAGTGGTGAAATTAATGAATCTTCTCTAAACTTTGTTGGTTCAAGACCAGTTACTTTATCAAATGTTAAAGATTGTGGAGAAGATTCAGTATTAGCTATTAGTGGAAGATCATTATTATCATATAAAAATGGAACTAAAATTAAAACAACACCACTTAATATTCAAAATACAACTCTTGCATGTGGAATTTTAGTTCCATTTGTTGATAATGCTATCGCTATTATTTGTGAAAAGGTTATGAAAATTATTACTATTGAATCAACTTCTTCATCTCTTACTGGAAAAAACATTCAATTATCATACACACCAAGAAAAATTATTACTCATCCAACAATTCCTTTATTATATATTCTTGAAGGTGATAATAATTCTTGTAAAGTTGGTAATGAAATTATTCAAACAAATGAAGGTAATTGGGTTGGTGGTATTCATATTTTAGATGCAAGCCAAGATGAATTAATTCAATTTATTGATTTTGATAATAATAAACATCCAACTGCTGGATGTGTTGTACGGTCAATATCAAAAAATCAAACGTACTTAATCGTTGGAGTAATTGAATCATATAAAACTCGACCAATTCAATGGAAATCAAGTGAAATTCAAGTATATATAATTAATGAACATTCAATTAATTATTGTTATTCAACAAAAGTAGAATATCCTGTACGTGCTTTTGCAGAGTTTAAAGGAATGGTATTAGCTGGAGTTGGAAATGTATTAAGGTTATATGACATTGGTCTAAAGTCTCTTCTTAAAAAAGCAGAAAAAAGACAACTTGCTTCTGATGTTGCACAACTTCATGTAATTGGAGAAACAATTTTATTAACAGGAATTTCAGATGGATTTAACTTAATTAGATACAATCAAATTAATCATAAATTTGATATTTATGCTGATTCATTACCAAGATGGGTTGTTACTGCAGCACCATTAAATCAATCAACCGTTCTTGCATCAGATAAATTTGGAGAAATTTTTATGTATCAACTACCAAAAGAAATTGAAGAAAAAGCATTAAGTCCATTTTCTACTTTACTTCAACCACATAAAACAATATACGAAGGATCAAATTATAAAATGGTTACAGCTACTCAATTCTTTATTGGAGATATAGCAACTTCTTTTGCTCAATGTTCATTAATACCAGGAGCTCCAAGTATTTTTCTTTATAGTAATTTTATGGGTGGATTATCTGCATTAATTCCATTACAAAATCAGAATGATATTGATTTTTATCAACACCTTGAAATGCATATGAGAGTTCACTGGACAAATTTGACTGATAGAAATCATATCTCTTTTAGAAGTTCAATGGTTCCTGTAAAAGATACAGTAGATGGTGATTTATGTGAATTATATGAACGTCTTCCTTATGAAATTCAACAAGAAATAGCAGAAGAAATGGAAAAAGAAGTTAATGAAATTATAAAGAAATTACATGATTTGCGACATTCTCGTTTATTCTAATTAACTCGTTATTTAAATATTTCGTCATCATTTTTTCTCTTTATATTTTACATTAAAATTTATGAAATATATTTCAAAAAAAGTATAAATAATATTATGAAATTAAAATTATATAATAAATATTAAATATTGTTTATAATTATTTATGAACTTATTTCTTTAAATGTTTTTTTTTGTATTTCTGTATGAAATATTATTGTTTCTTTTGATTAGACTGAAGAGTCTATATAATTTTTGATTATAATGAATTACGTTATATGTCTTAAGAATCTTTTTTTTATTCAATGAAGATTTCCTTCTATTTGCTTCAATATATATGATTGTTGATGTTAAAAATATCTCATAACAACATTACTCATTCTATTTCTTTAAAAAAGAATTAACTAACATATTATAAGATAATTATTGAATACATAATCAGTGGATTAATCCATAAACTTTTTCAAAATAATTTTTTTAATATTATTGTTATATGTAACAGAAATAAATTATTCATAAAAAAGAGAAAAAAGTAAAATCAATAAAAGAACTGAAAAAAAGAACTAATTTCATAATTTTTCTCAAAAATGAAAACACTTCTAATTGTATTACTTACACTTTTTGTTGCTATTTCATTAGCAGACGATGAATCCACATTAGAAAATAAATATGAAATTGAAAATGAGTATGAAACAAATGAAGAAGATAATGAATTAAATGATGATAATGAAGATGATGGAGAATATGAGCTAGAAGAAGATGACGATGATGATAAAAGACGCAGAAGAAGACATAGACATTTTTGGCATTACAGAAATTGGTGGTTAAGAAGACATTGGCTCAGAAATTGGAAGAGACAAATGAGAAGATGGAGAAAACAACAAGAAGTTAAAAGAAGAAGAGTTCAAAGATTAAAAGAAATGCATAGAAGGAGATTTGCTCGTAAACAAAGAGCACGAGCATTAAGAAGAGCCATGATGAAAAAGTTACATGTTAAAAGAGCATCATCATATAAAAAGAGAATTATTGCAGCAGAAAAACGTATTGCTAATCAAAAACAAATGTTTAAGATTTTAAAGAATAAAATTATTCAATTAATTTATAAACTTAGACAAACACAAGACCCTAAACAAAAAGTTCAATTAACAGCAGAATTAAAAACTGTTATTAACAAATCAAAAGAAGTTAGAAAAGCAATTGTTTCTCGTGCAGTTAAACAAAACATTATTTTAAGAAAACTTGATAATGCTAAAAAGGTTAAAGCTGCTATTAAAAAGATTTATAAAGAAAAAATTGCTATTGCTAATGAAAAAAGAATTATTAAAGCAATGAATATTATTGATTCAAAAATTAATGTATTAAAACATGACCACAGATATAATGCTAAAAAATTCCAACGTGCTGTTGCTAAAGAAATTAAAAGAACATGTAAACATTTAAGAATTACTAAAAAAGTTTGTAAAAAAATTGCTGATAAAATGCGTTCTAAAGTTAAATATGAATCAAAGAAAATTGTTAAAAGATATAATAAAAAACAAGCTAATTTAAAGAAAAATCTTGAAAAACGTATTGAAGGTAAAATGGTTAAACAAACTGTTAAAGGTATGGCTAAAAAGTTTGAAAGAAATTATCATGTTATGGATAAATATAGAAGAGTACTTGATGTTACTTGCAGAATGGATCCAAAGAGTTGTAATTTCTTTAGAAGATCATTTGGTGATATGGTTCCAATGTTCTAAATCATTAATTTTTTGTTTTATTTATTTTTATTAAAATTAAAAGAAAAAAAAATTCAGAAATATTGAAACACCAAAATTATTTATTGGGAATTTTTAGCATCTCTCAATCTTCTAACTGTGCTTCTAACTGTAGCACCTGAAATAGTGGAAAGAGTATAAGCTCCACCAGCAATTTGTTTTCCACAACCTTTACATTCCCAAATTCCACAAGCAGTTCTTCTGACAGCCTCTTTGCAGCAGAATGGGCAAACATATTTGGAGTGTTGGGCAATTTCAATCTTCTTAATAACTTTACGAAGTGAAGCACCATATCTAGTTCCGTATTTACCTACAATTCCTACCTTCTTTGTTCTACGAGCCATGTTGGTGTTCTTTCACTTTTTGAGATGATTCAATCATAAAAAATTAAATTTTAGGGTTGATTTTTTACTATTTTTTATTATTCTTTTTATTATTTTTATTATTTTTGAATGTTTTTGTTATTTTTTTATCTTCTTTAACTATTTTTGACATTATTGTTATATATAACATAATAATATAAAAATAAAATAATAAGAAAAATAAAACAGTCATTTAATAAACACTACATTACATGTTTTTGTTTAAAAACGTGTATTGTAACATCGAGGATGAGGAACCTGAAAAATGGGTGTATCTTTATAAAGGGGTTGATTGATTTCTTCTTCTTCTTCTTCAGAAGACTCATATCCATTTGAAGGACCAAATGATTGATATTCACTAACTTCAGCAATTGAGAAAACATCAAAACATCCTTCTGATGCACTTTCACTTTCAAGAGATTCACAAATCACTTGTGCTGATAAGCTTCTTATTGCTCTATTCATAGTAAAAAACAAATTTAGTGAAATCTAGTTCAAATAATAAATGAAAATAGAACAAAGAAATAGGGGGTGATAACGTCAATCTTTATTTTTGTGAAGGACTAAACAATATGGAGAAACTCCTATTTGCTTTCATAAAGATAAGAAGATATAAAAATTTAGTGAATTACTCCAAAAAAAAACCGAAATTTCCTGAATTTTTTATAAACTAGGCTCAGAAGAGGATTCCGCAATAAAATTACATCTTTTTTTTTTGAAAGAAATCTTTGAAATATCATGACAAAAATAATTTCGATTAATTAAAATAAATTTGATGATTTGAATTGAAACAAATTGTTAAAATAAAAAGTTCCACACAAGTTTTTGTCTCTTTTATTCTTCTCCAAAATCTTCAACACTCCTCAAAAATATTAAAGAAATCTTTAATAATACAATGAAATATTTATTTTTTATTATTTAAAAATAAAATAATGAATAAGAATATTCTTTAATTAAAGGAATGGCGTCATACAAATGATATGACCTTCATAATCCATCATTGGATTTTCCCTCATCTTCTTCTTTTTTCTTAATTCATTTTGTTTTTTAATTTGATCTCTAACTACACAAGTATCAGGATAATAATCACGATATAATGGAGAATGTCCATTAATTATTACAGTTGGTATTTCATTTGATTGTCCAACTTTATAACAAACTTTTAATAACACTTTTCCAGTTACTGCTGTACTTTTATTTCCAAAATTACTTAATTGATACCAATCTTGAATAATAACATCTGGTGGGAAATATTGTAAATCAAAATTAACAGCTCCCATAAATACATCCCATCCAATTCTATGATAGTCATATAAATATACAACAACATTTGTTCTTTCCTTACTAACAATAATACTAATTTTGTTGTTCTTTGTAAATACAGGATCTAATGAATTACTTTGTGTATTGGTTTTAATCCATTTTTCATTATTATCCCAAACACATGCATATGGATCTGGACATCCCCATCCTAATACTGGAAGTCCAATAGCTTTAACAATCTCAACTTCAAATCTCGCTTCTTTCCCTTGAGCAATATGTGGAATAATTCTTTGTTCTAATGGACGTGGATCAATCCATGATGTAGTTTGGGTATTATGGTCAATGAAATACCATTCTCCATAATCTTGTCCAATTGACCATCCTGGAGGTAACATAGCAGCATTATAAATTGGGTATGGAAGTGCACAGGGATTATTCATATCTGGAGTAAGACTTGTTTGTCTTGTAAAATGAGAAACATAATATGGTTGTTGATCAACAGTTAATATTTGTTCAATACCAGGTGCAAGTGCTCTATTAACTACTGTTTGATATGATGGTGGCATTCTAAAATGAGGTCCATAAAATCCTGTTGTTTTGGTGAAGTCTCTTCTTCCACCAAATAAACGAGAACGTTCTGTCATAAGTTGTGGCCCTTTAATATCATATCCAATTTCAATAGGGAATAAAATGTTAATAGTTTTTCTACCAGCTTTGCCATGAATGTTGATATAAGTGTTAATAGAAAATTCTCCAGAATGTGTAGTAGTTGGAAGGTTTAATGGAATAGTTAATGAACCAACTAAAGTTGATGTTGAATGCATTAAAATTGGTTGAAATACAAATTCTGAAGAACGGAAATTAACATTCGTATTTTTATAGTTGTGAGTAGCAACAAAACTTGCTTTTAGTTCTAATTGGTCACGTAATAGGTTAGTACATTGTAATGTCATTTGAACTATATCACCAACAGATGGAGTGTCATCACTTAATGTTAATTGAATATTTGCACCACTACTATTATCACAAAATACACGTGGTCGAGGTAAATGGTAATCTGGATTGACACACAATGGAATCACAAATCCATTAGATCTAGTTTTTGAACCATTTTTCTTTATTAATTCACAACGAATCATATACTGTACATTAACATCACGATCATTAAAAAAGCATGACGATGGGATTCCTTTTGGTAATTGCATAACAAATGGATAACTATAACTTCCAGGTGCTAATTCAGTAGTCAAAGCAATATTGTGGTTATGGAGTTCTTCAAGAACTGGATACTTTGGTGAAGAATAAATGACTGTAGTTATCGGTGTTTCAACTTCACGAGTAGTTTGAAATTGACGTCCATTTTTATCTGTTTCAGTGGTTGTTATTGTTTCAGTATAATGTGTGTGGAATATTCCTTCAACAAATACAGTTATTCCTTTAATAAAAGTAGGAGAGTTTGTGGTGACAGTGACAAACCCTTGAATAGGTTCACCTAGAATATGTCCTGGATGAGTAAGTGTAATAAAGAAGTCAAGCATCTTAAAATGGATTATCAGTTTTTTTTTGAGTTTATTTTTATTGTTTCTAATTTTTTATTCAATTTTCTTCTGTTATTTTCAACGTATCTCATTATCCCTTCTTTTATTTTAAAAGTCATTAAAAATTACTTGTATTATGTAAAATATTCAGTGCTCAATCTCTTAGAGTAACACTGTGGAGATGTAATTCTTTTTATTGGGTGAAAAAAAATAACTCAAATAATAGTTAACTGGACTAAATCATAAAATGGATTATAAAAATTGTTTATTACTAATATACGTATCGGCTTTATGATTGTTTTGAATTGTTTTTGAATTGATATCAATACATTTCATTTCTATCTTAGAGTTTATTTCAAAAACACTAGTATTAGGATATTCTTCTTCTAACACATTATTTTAACTGATTTATAAAACATTAGGTCTTTCATGTTTTTTAGTAATAGTTATTTGACGTGCCTTATTGTAATCAATTTATTATTTTAATAGATGTAATATTCTACTGATTTATTTTGTATTAATTTATTGTTAATATTACAGTATTTATTTCTACATATATTAATTCTCTATTTTATCTTAATTCACTGTATTTCTTTTATTACAAATTCAAAAACATTGTTTACATCATATTTTCATTTATTTGATTACTTTCATTCATTGAAATTAATAATACAAATTACTTTCTTCTTTCTTTTATATTCAATTTGATTCTCTTTTATTATTTCTATCATTTCATTTATTTCTTATTTGTTTTTGTTGATTATTTTGATATTGTTTATATCTTCTTTGTTCTTTATTATGTGAATTATTTCTATGATAATATGATTGTTTCTATTTGATTTATTGATAAAATACATATGATGATGAAAATGAATGAAGTGATGAATGAAAATATAATGAATATGATGATAATTAATGTATTTCTTATTACAATTAATATTTACTTTCACTTATTCTTCTATCATTTATATTTGTTGGTTATATTGATTTCTCATTCTTTTGTTATAGTTGTTTAATATTCTATGATGTTTTATGCATCACTTTTCATTAAATTTAGTTATAGTTTTTTGAGTTACACTCAACTTCAACATTCATCTGAATTCTCAAAATGTATTTCTTTTAATCAAATGAACCATGTTCTAACTTTGTTGTTGAATAAACAAAACAATAATATTCAAATGATTTTTGGAATATTAGAAAAATAAAAAATAGACTAAAAAATAAATATCTAGTTCATTGAGTTGAAGTGCAACTGTGTTACTATATGAAATAATCGTGTTGAAAAATGATCTTATTGCAATTTACAATGGTGAGATTCCTCAAGGAGAGAATACAACATTGAATGATATGGATAGAATGATCTATGTCATTATTGATGGTATTAATAATACTTTGTATGATTTCTACTCAAGAGTATGAAGAATTTATCAGATAAGATCATTGTCATATCCAGATACTGATGTTTTTATTGTTTTGTTTTCTATTATTGACTCAGATTCATATAATCATGTGGAAACAATATGGAAACATGATATTGAATGTTATTGTCAAGACGCACCTATCATTCTTGTTGTTAGTTGTACTAAAGTAAGAAAAAACCCTGAAAAAATTAACGGTTTGGCTGAACAAGGAATTACTTTAAAATCAGATGAACAAGGAGAGGTGATGGCTAAAAGAATTAGTGCAGTTGAGTACATTGAGTGGTGTAATTCAGAGAAAGATGACGTTGATTTTATTGTTGAAGAGGCACTGAGAACTTATTTAAAAGTTGAACAAAAGAAAACAATAAAGACAAAGGATGTAATTTATCTTAAAACCTAATTATTTATTTTAACATTTATAACAATGATTAAATACAAACATATTCACAAATGATAATCATTTTATTTGAAATTCTTTGTATTTTTATTTATGATTTTATTTGTAATGTGTTATCAGAATTCAATAAAATCATTTATAATTAATTTACATTATAAATATCATTGTATTGTTATAATTTAATGATTGATGAATTATTATTGAATATTCATTATTATATTATGTTATTTTATTATTTATTTGTTTGATTATTTGATTGTATTGATTTTATTATTCATTAATTTGATATGTTATTTTATTTATTCTTTTATTTTCATATTGAATATCGTATTTAATTTATATTCATTTGTATTTATTTGTTATTATTGTGTTTATTCATTTCTTGTTATATCTTCTTTTGTTTTATTTCTTTATTTATCATTTCTTTTGTTTATATTATTTATTATTCTCATTGTGTTATTATTATATATCATTTATTATTTATTTTAAAACTACATTTATTTATTGTTCTTTTGATTATATATTCTCTTTATTTTAATTATTATTTTCAACTTCATTCTTTTATTATTTATTGTGTTTTCTTGTTTTTATCTTCTTTATTATTTTATCATTTCTTTATCATTTTATTCTATTTGATTAACTTCATTTC